AGTTTTTTTAAACGCGCTTTGTATGTGGCCATGCATGGTGATTTCATTCTCTCCATCTCTTTCTGGATTTTAGAATGTAGTTTTGGATATACCATATATCATATAAATTTTTAAAAACCAAATTTGTTTTTGGATGATAAATACCTAAAGCCAATATCATGCATGTAACAAATTGAACTAACAAAATCATTTTTTATGCATGATAAATTCTAATAGCATTGATCTCCCATGAATTTTAATTTATATATCTTTCTAAATCATACTTTTCGTATTTCTGAAGACTAATGTAGCTAGTTTTTTCCTTCTTGATATTTTTGTTGAGCAGTTTTTTTATTGATAAATCATCATTGTCTTCTATCTCTATTGCTCCACTTATGTTGCTCGAGAAATTAAATCAATTTAAGTGAAAATTTTATGCAATGTTATAATCTAAATAATTAATTGAAATTTTCTCACTCATCTTTCTATCACTTATTAGCTAATATTATTATTGAATGGATTCATTTCAAAGATAGTTCAAGTCAGGAATTAATAAGTTTTTCCTTACTATATATTATGAAAAATAGTTTTGTAAAATGAAATTGTGCAATATATACTTGCTAAACAACTAAAATCAACTTAATGTTTTTACATCAATTTTATTTTATTTTTTTATGTTCTTCTATCACTTTTAATGTGAATGAACTATTCTCTAACTTCACACTTATCAAATTTACATTATGAAAAAACCTTTTCAACATTTTCATTTTCATATTGATATCCTTATATTTCTATTTTTCATTTATAAAAGTTTATTACAAAAAATAAAAAGATTTTTGGAACTTTATGTTAGAGAAACCAAAAATCTATAACAAAAATAGTTCCAAGTATACTTTCTCATTATATAAACTAAATATGTAAAGTATCTTTTTATACCCAATATAATTTATATTTGCAACATTAGTATAATAGTCATTGCATGAAACCTAAAAAAACTCTGTAAGAATAATTGATTTTACAATATCAATATCATTGAGAGAGATTTGCAATTGATTAGTGTGATTTGCCTTATGCAGGATGCAATAATGCAACATGTTGACATGCCACTAAGAGGCCATCCTTCGGAATTTTCAATGGAGATTGAGGATTCGTTTTGCAAGCTAAATAATAATTTATCTACCATCACAGAAAGTGTACAACTTGATGGCCATGGTAGAATGAGGAACTCATTTGGTGAAATTGAGAATAACGATGATACATGGGGTGGTAATTTTTGGTTTGCTTTTTCATTCAAGCAATTAATATTTTTATCTCATCCATGGATTATGCCTTTTATGCTTGTTTTTCAGGAACCAATTTGCAATATCCTGCAGTTCAGAAATTTGTAATATCCAAGTTCAAAAACCCTTGTTGTATTCTTACTAAATTTTTAAATGGTGGTTTCTTAGTGTTTTATATTCATCTAGGTTTTGTTATTGCCACTTGATGAAAATATTGCACTTGCTGAAGGACAATAAAAAACGACCGTATGTGATTAAACATACCTTCCCTAGTTCTGGAGAGACATTTAAGGCATTTCACTTGGCTCTAGGTTTGTGTCTCAATGATTACACTTTTAAGAAAGGAAAAGGAAAAAAAAAAAGAGAAGAAAAAAATTACTTTGAGATATAAAATCCTCAATTTACTTCTGAATCATGGACAGCATTATTATTTTTTCCTTCAATATCATGTTGGATATGGACTTCTGGGGTGTTTTGAGTTCTGTTCTTATGGCTTTCATGTTTAATGCTGATTTCTGGGGTGAAACTGAGGTTGGGGATATGGTCAGCTTTTGTTTATTTACATCTCCAGAGTGATTTTAATCAGCTGTTCTTATAGTTGATTTTTAGTCCTTTCTGTGGTTCTCCAAGGATCCCAGTGTGGAATAATTATTTACCCTTTTACTTTCCAGCAAGGTGTAGGTCATGGGATGCCAATTTTCTAGATAAGAGGGGATTTGATGTTTCTTGGAATAGCTGGCCATATTCTATGGATGGTAATTCTGCTGAATTTCTGAAATACGGAAATGATCGATTGCCAGATGATGCTTTTGAAGGTTGTCACCTTCTGAAGAAAAGGTGTTTAATGAACACCTGACCTTTCTCCACCTGTTTTGATAAACTATAATGCATGCTTCTTGATCATGGTATTATATTTATATTTTTGCAGGGATTCTATAATTGCCAAGGAAGCATTCAATATCTTAGGTGCTTTCTCTCTCAGCTACTTGGATTTTCGTATCATGCCTCTGTTCATACTGCCATTTTTTTTAGAAAAATACTTGAAAATGAAACAATTTTTTTCATTTTTTTGTAGAATCCTAATCATGAAATATATAATAATTGTGTGTGGTTTATTTTTCTGCCATGGTATGTACATTTTAAAAATTCTAATTTGTTTTTTTGGCTGAATCCCCCTCTTTTCTTGCTTATGGTCTTGAGAATGAGTGTGAACTTAAATATTTAGCAGCTGATGAAATTTCTTACAGAGGAGCAGTTTCTCATTTGGATAGTGTTCTCCATTCTTTTTGTTTGTCTTTTTTTCGTAATAAAAGATCATTTATCATTTTGTATAATAGATTATTAAATGGCTGTTTAGTATATATTCTCTTGGTCCCATGGTTTTGGTTGGTTGTTGTGTTAAAGGTCTTATGAGTTAAATACCAATTGGACTGGGATTCTTCCTATAAGATCTACCATTGTGGCATCATATGCTCAAATGACTTTTACCTCCTGTTTGATTGTTGTTGTCATCATCACCAATATAATGATGATGATGAAAGGATGTTGTTTTTGTCCTTCCGCTTGTATTAGATTGCATATCTGGTATAGAAGATTGAGAGATTCATGAGAAAAGGGCCCCCTTTCCTCTTCACTGACAGTTCTCTGTTCTTTTAATCAGATTCACCCTCTCTGAAGCATCAAACAACTGAAACTGGTTTTGATTTCATGATTTCTGAAAGGGCGGCAAGGTAAGTCAAGTTTTATGTGAAATTTCTCAGTAACTTGAGCACATATACACCACAGTTTTTCCTTCGCATGATCACAGGAAGCCTTCACGGCGAATGAATTTTGGTTTTGGAGATACAACCATCCAACCTGATTGGTCTTGCTTTATCACAGAAGATGCTAGAGACAACCAGAGCTTGTTGAGGTAATTGTTAGTAGTTCTCCACACCTGCCCCCTTACATAATTCATTTTCTAATTCAACTGATGTTTCATTACCTTCGTAAATATTTGGCAGTGAAGAGTCAAGCTCGTCCACTGCAGGTTATGCATTTTTATTGGGTATGAGGGTTTTATGATTCAGCTTGTTCTAAAACTCATATTTAAATAGAGCGACTTTTTCCAAAGGCAGTGAGGGACAAGGTGACAGATACTTCGCCATCACACTCTACAGCAAGACGCAGCCAAAGGCATCAAAATGCTTCTGGTTTCCCTGAAAACAATTACAGAACTAAAAGCGTTTTTCTCAAGGGAAGAAAATTCAAAAATAGGGAAGAAATTCAGAAAGGAAATAACGGATTTGGATCAGGAAAATCCACACGGATCCCAATGCTATCAGAGTCAAGCAACTTAGATTGTCCTTTCCAGGAGAAAATAGGGTCACGTAGGAATTGGATGTTTAAAGAAGGATATGGGTCAGCAGATACGAATATGGGTTTCAGTTCACCATGCCAAACCTCAGAAACAAAGCATCCTTTGTCAGGCTCCAAGCCTTGGACTGAAGATACTTTTGATGCCTTTGTCCCTGAACCACAAATTGATGCCAAATTCTCTTCTGGAATCTCCAAACATGGTGGCTCTGTTAAAAATTCACCATCTGCCAGTTTTATCTCTGAAAAGTTCGCCTTCTGCCAACAATCTAGTAGTATGCACGCTCATGATTCCCCTATGTTCTCGAAGGTTGAGTTTGGGGCAACCAGCGCAGATTTTACTCTGGATCCTCCAGATTTTGAGTTCAAAAGCAACCCTCCAGATTCATCAGAATATGCTGCTTGTCATGGAGAGAAGTTGGTTTTGGAGTTATCAGCAAAGGAAAGTGTAAGCAAAGAAAAGAAAAATAGATCAAAATTTCAGCAAACCAATTATGAAAAGGTCGAGACATGGAACGGCCCTGTTGGAAACATGAAGCGAATGGATGCATTAGAATCTGTGGATAATGGTCCTGACCGCAAGGATGTAAAAGATGAACCTTTGGAGACATCATCATCTGTGAAGATCCCTAACAAATCTGAAAGCAGTGTTGATAAAAAAGAGTACGTTTGTTGAACTTTGTGCCATTCTCTCTTCCTCGTGCTTTATATTTAAACTTATAATGTGTGGTTTCTAAAGCCGTCCATTATGTTGTCAGATATCACCATGATGCTGAAGTTTCTCCTCCATGCCCAAAGGGGAATAAAGGTATCAAGATTTTCCCTTCAGTCTTGAATAGCCAAGTCTCAAGTCTTTTGAATTGTTTGATGGCCCTTCCTTGCCATTTCTTTCTTTCTTACACTTGTTTTTTTGTAGTAATACGCTTGTTTTGGATTGAGGCGTGGATTTTATTGTTGTTTGAACCAATAAGCTTTACTCATCTTAATACAGAAGCAGAAAATGAAGGGCCAGGAGACAGAAAAATAAGCAGAGATGGTAATCGTCTTGATTCATCTCCCCCAGTGATGATGCTAAAAAGCTACATTCTCCAGCTTCTTTGTGTGCAGAAGGCACCGAAGGTGGCTTCTGTACAGACACCTTAAGGAAGGCATATTCTTCCTTACAATTGGTATAGAGATTCTTTTGAGACTAAGGGAAAGAAAAACACAATGCAATCCCTCTTATTCACTTGTGTGCATTTAATGGCCTCAGGCCCCTTCATTCGCTCCTGTAACTGAGTACAGAATGAAACATGTCTGGTGATGCACAGTCTAGTTTCTTTTTCCATAGACTTCCTCCTGTTCACTTGCTTCTGGGTTAATATTACGCACTCATAAACTTGGAACTTCAATTTTAACAAATTCAATGTTCGAAATAAGAAATTATCTACAAATGTGAATTAAGCAGAAACGAAAGGCAAACAACTTTGTGCTTGCATTAAAACCTCCTTATATATAGATAACTACTTTAGATGTTAACAAAAGGGATGAAACAGTGTAGTGTACAACACACTTCTATTGATTGCAGCAGTCCTACAATTACTGCCCAAAATCAACATTTTTCCTTTCATGTCTCTCTTTTTGACATCTTTTCTGCATGTTCATCTTCCCCTGCAAAGCCTCCTTGTGATGGATTGTTCTGCTTTTTTGTATGGCACTCAGTTTTGTCACGTCTGATAGCTGAAGAGGTTTTAGCAAGAACTCTTGTGCTTCTTCCTCCATGCACCTGTTTAGGTGGAAAATATTTGATAAATCAATGATTTCTTTCTTCTTTCAATTTTTTTTTTAAAGACAAAATTAAACCAGAAGAAACAAATTGAAACTGCAAGGCAGGCAATTACTGTTTAATTCGAGCAGGGATGTTCTCAGATGACACTATAACTACTGGTATCTCCTTCATGGTAGGTGATTCCTGTTAGAATAGATTAGAAATTACAGTGGAGGCTACATCATTGAAGACGAGTACTAATATTTACCTTAATTCTTTTCAATAGCTCATAACCTGTCATTCCTCCCATGCAATAGTCTGTGATGATCAGGTTCACCTTCAAGTCCTGCACCAAAAAAACAGAAAGTTGGAAATGGTAAGAGTTAAATTCATAGAAGCTAGAATCAGTCCTTCACTGTATCACTACTTTGCTTACACCATGATTGGTGTGTTGTCCATCAGCTAACCCCAAATATTCTAAAGCCTTTTTTTATTTTCTGCCGTGATCATTATAAATTTAGTGATATTTTTATTTGAAAATATATTAAAATAATATATATTTTTTAAAATTCATTCTACATGTCGAAACAACCCAAAAACATAAAAAAATAATTAAAAAAACACTCAGTTTTTGAAACCAGCTACGGAAACAAACACAGCCCTAATCCCTTGCTACCTGCCTCTCTAGCGTCCAAACAAATCGAGAAACGATTTGTTGTTTTGAAAAAATCAAAACTGAAGATGTGGGGTCTAGTCTTTTACTATCGTCCAATTTGGAAATGCGTCCTGCATATGTGACCCTGTTAAGTACTTCCATGGTGGCATGACCAACTTCTGAAGTGGAAATCACGTTCTCCATTGGACTAGCTAGTCCTTGCAGCAGTGAAAGCCTAGCTAGTGTGATCAATTTTTCGAGTCTTTTCTGTTCCCTTTTGCAAATGATGCCATTTACTCTACTTGGACATCAGATTATGAAAGAGAAAGTACCGTTTTATCAGAATCAGCTTTGTCTTTGCTCCTACAAAACCATGGGTAGAAACTAGGAAACTTATAACAAGGTTCACCAAAACCCCATGGACATAATAAGATATAAAAGAGATAAAATATGTTATAGAATGTTCTTTGGTAACAAATTATACCAACAGATAAAGAACAAATTTACTAAAAAAAGAAATGCTAATGGGTGAAAAGATAGAGAAAAGAGATTATATAGACACATCTACAAGGAACTACATCATTTTCATACCATACCATACCTTTATATTCAGACTTGATGAGTAACCTTTCAATAGCTTTCCGATCTATCAAGCCATCATCAACAGCTAAAACATGTGGTTTCTCATCAAAATCAAACCCCATTGATGGTGATGATGAAGAACAGCCGGCCATATCTACCTTCCAAGCACACACAAAGTAATGAGAAACCACCTCAACAAAACAGAAAAAGAAGAGTAAAGTTTGATGTCCTGATGTTAACGTCTTGTATACTGATTAAAACATGAAAAGCTTCATAGTTCCGTGACTGCATTTCCATTACCTGGTTCAGCCATAGTTCCTAGAATTGATGTTGGGCATTCAGTAGAATAAGTGTCATTTTTTATGATAATCTTCATCTAAGTGTATGCTCATAAAATTCTGCAGAGTGGATGACCATTAGTGTCTTGAAGGAACTCCAGTGACATGCTTAATTACCGACCAGTCGATCTGCCTCTTCATTGGGTGTCTTATCCATCCGATCAAACTGATTAATCCACTTTGCTTTATGGACATCCATGTTTAAAGAAACAAACCTTTTGGCAGCCAAGAAATCAGTTTCTTGGTCAACTGAAAATTCTTTGAGCATGAGGGCAGGCAATTCTCTCGGGATTGCATTTTGAATCCTCGTTCTACCATGCATCGATGCTGGCGGCAAAAAGGAAACAAAGGATGCTTTATGGTATACAAGCGAATATATACTCTAACAAACAACCAGACAAGTTTAAATGAGCAATGCACCTTCAAGATGCCTTGTGATGTTGTGGCGAAGACATTGCAACCATTGAGAAGCTGCAGTAGCATCTGGGAACCAAAAAAACTAGTTGAGATGGGAATTCTACTCAAAGCAACCTGAGACATTAAAAGTACCTGCCCTCATTCTCAACATATAGATGCTAATGTCTAACTTCAATAAGGTAAATCTGAGACATTAAAAGGATGTCTTCTCCAGTCTTTCCGAGTCAGAAAATTTTGCTGTGCGTGGAATTTTGAGAAAAAGAAAATCTTTTGTACTTTCTATACAGATATCACTGATGTTCATTATATACAAGCAGCTTTGAAAACTTAACTATGCTAGGCTTTAACTTCAAAATTGAAACTAACCTTCTAGAGAAAGAGAAGAACCCCTTGCTGTGCTTGATGACACCTCATCAAGAACAGAACTACTTGCATTTTCAGATGCTGTAACTGAAGATAGGGATGACTTCAATTCATCTTTGTCATCTTCATTGTCTGCCCTTCTCACAGCTACTCCCACATCACCAACCTCTTCATCGTATTCTGTTATCACACACAAATGGTCACTTGGGCCCTTTGAACATAATCCCAGTTGGTCACTTCCTGACGAACTATTTGGGCATCCAATCACATCATTTTCACCTGATCTCTTATCCTGCTTACTTGGGATGTCAATATTTCCTAATGTATCTCTTCTAACAAAATCCCGAATCACTGAAAATACCTGTTTACTGCTTCGTATCCGATTTATGATCCCTGGGTTGAACTCATTAAGCAACCCACATGGTGGAGAGTTCCGAGAGTACAAGTCAGTCGGTTCTACCTTTAAAACCTTCAACGGTCCCTTTGGTCCACCAATCCTACGCATCTCACTGTGCTTTTTGGGCGTTGGCAGCATGCCAACAGAAGGTGTAGTCCCTGGATTAATTTTCTTGAGCAATCCAGAAGCAGACGCAGCAACCTGAGTCAACCCATCAACTCGCCGCACCTTCGCAAGCTCTGGTTTTTCACTAAACCCAGCATTTCTGTGTCTCTCTCGCTTCTTATTTGGCATCGTAGCAGGCTTTGGCTTTGGCATTGGCTTTGAGACAGACAGACGCAATGGCGAAGGCGAGAGAAATCCATTTTGTTTCAATTCCAGCCAAACTCTCATAGCATCCTTTTCCTCAATCGAACCAGCAGCACAATGATCTGGATTTCAACATTAAAACAAACAATTCAACTCTACAATCCATGAATATAATAACCCAAACCAGCACAAGTACGTAAAACGGCTTTGGCTTTGAGGCAGACAGAGGCAATGGCGAAGGTGAGAGAAATCCATTTTGTTTCAATTCCAGCCAAACTCTCATAGCATCCTTTTCCTCAATCGAACCAGCAGCACAATGATCTGGGTTTCGACCTTAAAACAAACAATTCAACGCTACAATCCATGAATATAATAACCCAAATCAGCATAAGTAAAAAAAGTAAAAACCCTCCTTGAATTTTACCTGAACAACTGCGTACCGTGCTCATTGCAGTCTTTAACAGCTTTCTTCTTCACCAACTGTAAAATCCAAAAGGGTCTGATATCTCAGGATATAAAATTTAAATCCCATCAATAAAGCAGAATTCCATTATTTTCTCACGATTTCAACAACAAAAGACTAAGACATACATAAGAAGACAATCTTGAAGGGAAAGAACATGCATAAACACAAAATTCAAGAAATGAAACATCTTGGAAGAGAAAAAAAAAACATGGCTTATCTTCAAGACTAATTAACAACAGATAATTTAACCGAGCCAAAGATTATCCAGATAGACTTACCTTTAAGAAAAACAAAAAAAAGCAACCCAAGATCTTGGAAGGGGTGAATTTTGAAGGTCTTTAGGGTTTAGCAGCAGAGACTGAGATTATATTTTTCAAATTCCAAACAAGGAATAAATAGAACCTTTTTGACATCCCCGCGAAATCTCTGAGTGTTTCCCGGCAAATGTTTTAAACCCAAACCTTAAAGGGCTTTTTATAGGCCCATATTTGAAATTTGGGCTCATCTTTCTAAACCGTTAGGCCCATACAAGATCAGGTAGTTGGTGGGTCCTGCGTGTAACCTATTACATGGTGATTTTTAGGTGTCTGATTTGTAAAAGTAAAACACAGTAGTTATTCAACCATTGTTGTCATACCTGGCGACGGGTGGGGGTTTCATCTACGACAAGACTCGGTTATAGATGGGGAAGGATAATCTAATTTTAAACGATATTATTTTGATTATGGGGTTGAGGGCTAGATCTTGAATGGATTAACTCGGTTATGTTTATTTATTTTTTTTCAATTTATTTGATTCCTAAATCACTTGTTAGGCTATTCCGCGTTTTAAAGTTTTGAATTAAATCAAGTTTTTATTGTGAATAATTTCTTGCATGTGATTTTAGTGGTTTAATTGATAATCAATATAGTCATCTCTCAACTAGAATTTTGAGAGGAGGGATGAATTTGATAGAAATAGAGAACAAGAAAGGACAGAGTTCAGACCAACTACAAGTTTTTGGGGCAAATGCAAGGATTTATTGAAATAACCCTAAAATGTAAGGGTTAAATTGAGCAATATCAAAACTTGGGGTGCCATGGCCCCCAGGTTAATAAGTTGTTTCTTTAAATTCATCATGTTAATTTCTCATGTAACAATATTTAAGACTGGAAGCAATGCTGTGATAATTACAGCACTGAAGAATATTACATAAACAGCAAGATCAGATTTCTTTGTCCACGTCTTTTAGTTTTGATGCAATCACATGCTAATGATTAGATCAGAAGCTTAAGTAACTGGATCATAAAATTAATGCAGGATCTATTGTAGGTGACCTAGCCGCTAGCCGTAGCCGCTTATGAGTATTTTAATAGAAGAAAATAATGCTGTGAGTGCTCATCTCAAAAATTGATGGGGAAATTGACGGGGAAGATTTTAAAATATAATTTATATTATTTTTTAATATATATTTTAAATAAAACTTTTTTAAATTTAAAACTTATATATATTTATATTATTTTATATTTAATTTGTATTAAATAAATAAGAATAATAATATTTAAATTTATAATTGTTTAATTATTAAAGATCTAAAATATCATATTAAAACACTATTTTGATTCAAAATTTAAACTAGTAAATGAGATTTTATAATATAATTTATATTATTTTTTAATAGCACCGTTAAAGAAAGATTAACATGGAAATGATCCAAATATGTTTTTAATGAAAAACAACAATTCAAATTTTTTATGTTATATGTCTGCATGCAATGCATGAAGGTATCATCCTCTATCCTCGAATTCTTGTTCGGGTCCTGTCTCAAAATACTTGTCTAACATGGATAACAAAAATGTTAACGCATGCTAAAGAACCCACGGCGCCGATCCCATCACCTGCACATGCAAACCCCAACCCCAGTTGAAATTAATAGACGACAAATATTAGTCACTAGCAAATTAAATAATTAATGGTAGTGTTTTTCATCAAGAAATATTAATAGTGATGGGCTCTAAAACCACATCCTTACAAGAGTACTTGCTGTAGTTGTTTTAAGCTCATGATCTGTACATTAATCACAGCAAATTATCTCTTCCCTGTAGCATTTATTGCCACCGTCATCTGTAGTTGTTGGTATAAAATTCAAAATTTATTATCAGCATACCGATGTGTTCATTTTTTATATTTCAGTGAAATGTTTTCAAAAGGATAAGGCAAAATTAAAGTTGTAGAAAGGACAGATCAAGAGAAGTCTATTGCCATGGTCATTTATAGTTGTTATTATAAAATCCAAAACTATATATATATATATATATGTATGTATGTATAGATATGTATGTGTGTGTGTGTGTGTGTGTGTGTGTGTAGATATCCCATTTCTGGGAATTTAAGAGAAGAAAGGAAAATTTATGATCAGCATACAAGGACTATATATATATGATGTGTTCTTTAACATTTTAGCGAGGTTTTAATATAATCTCAGGAGGATAGAGCAGGATTTTCCTGAAACAAAAGGGAAGACAGAAGAGAAGTCGCACCAGGCGCGCGCGCACACTTGAACGTTTACAAGATAAAACTTGTATACAGTGCTATAATCATGGCTAAGAAAATTATTGTAGTGGGATGAAACTGATGTAGATTGAAACTTCATCATCATGTCCTGCTTAATTAGCCAAATAATGAAAAGAAATGACAATTGATTGTAGCTTTTGAGATTAATTATGATCCTCAATATATAATTGAAGATTGGTAGATGGAAACACAAATCATTGCAGCATGCAGATAATTACGAAGAGAATACAATATGTCTTTGTTAAACATTCCTCGTTTTCTTAACCTGAATTATTTAAAAGCTTAAAATGAGAGAAAACAACTTACCATTCCCATTAAATGTTTTTTTTTTAATGAAATTGAATGAGTAAGGGTTAAAGTACTTGTCAGCCTGTCACGTTTTAAATTGAGATTAATTGCAGCAAAGAAATATACAAAAATATTGATAATATATTTTTTTTATAGAAAAAACACGTTTAACGTACAGTAACTAGTTTCAGGCCGTGGTTTTATTGCTGTAAAAAGACAGGACACAAGTAGCTGTGAAGATAGCAGAAGGGAACAGTCAATCTCATCTGCATGTCATCTGACAGTTCTTCACAAAAACCCATGAAACCGCCGTGTGATGCTATCATTGTCCGAATGAGTGAGTTAAAGAAACAGAGTCGACTATTCTTCCTTTCTCTTCTCTTCTATGTTTGTTTGGAAAGCGGTGTAAAGTGTCGTGCATGCATCCTTCCTTTTTCCCCTCTCCCCTTCCTTCCGCATATTTGCATGCACTCTCTCTCTCTGTCTCTTTCTCTCTCTCTCCTATTTATAAAACAAATAAACACACTTTGTCTCTCTGTCTTTGCCTATCCATACTACTACTACCAGACAAACAAACTTAACTCGTTCGCGGTTACTCCTCCTCCTCCTCCTCTTCCACTCTACTCTACTTACCACGCCCTAACTCTTTGGTTTTGTGTTAATGAAGGTAAATATACTGAAAAGATTATCTCTTGTTTAAAGACTCGGGCTCTTTCTTTTTTCTTTTTGGAATTATTTATAATGTTGTGCATGGAGAGATTAGATTGTCAAGTTTTAATTTTTGTTTCAATTAAATTGTGGGTTTCGGTTAAGAAGGGGTTTTAGGGATCTTCTTGATTTGTTTTTTTGTAAATCATTGGTTGTTTATCAATTAAAAGGGTTGATTTTTATTTTTTGAATAAAAGAAATGGGCACCAAGATTTGCATGAATGCATCGTGTCAAACTACGACGACTCATGAATGGAAGAGTGGTTGGCCTTTGCGATCTGGTGGTCATGCTCTTCTCTGCTACAATTGCGGGTAATCCCCCCCCCTCTTTCTTCTTTTTAATACTGGATTTAATTTCCAATGCTAGCTAATTAAGTAGCTTCTTCAAGGGCAGTTTGGGGATGTGAGGTTTTATTTCTAGTTCATCACTTTGTTGTTTTTGCAAATCGATTCCTTGTTTTTGTGAATTGGGTTTTCACTGGACTAGATTTCTGTCATGTGTTGTGTTTTCGTACTTTTGTTGTAAGAATCGGTGACATTGTGATTATGGTTATTAAGACATCTATAATTAGATAATTAGTACTTGAGCAAAACCAGCTATACCACAGCTACTGCTTGTTATCGTATCATGGAAACTTTTCATCTTTAATTACAGCATATAATTAAGCAGATAATTATGGCTTATAAGCAACCATGCAATTCACCCGCGCGCCCACAGCCACAATGTATTGAATTTTGTTCATGGTGTTAACCAGCTGAGGAAAATTGCTGGCCATCCTAGGAGAACCTATCGAATTTTATCTTTAAGCAGAATGAGCCTAAAGCAATTAACTTGGACCATTGTTTTTTTTTTTTTTTTTTGATAATGCACTTTCTTATGCATTTGGCTGGGAGTGGATGCTCAACTTTAATTTGAGCGAACAATCCATTCTCACATTAACTGCAACTGTAGCAAATTTTAAAATTTGATAGAGATGTTGCCATGTCAGTTGTTTTCAACAGATTTTAGTAGTGCAGATTTGAACCGGCTCATTTGTTACGCTTGTTTTTTTTTCCCCCCCACTGAATTTCTGTAATGCATGGAGCTTTATAACCACCCCTTGCCCGTTTCTGAAAGCATCGTGAAATTATGAGATATCTTATAACTTTCATAAGTCTGCAACAGTTTAACATTTACTCTAGTTGACCTTGTGTGTGCATTACAAGATGCTTACCTTCAACTCAGAAATATCCTGGTTCTAATTCACCATTCCATTTTTGTCATTATGTTTGCTTCCATTGCTTTTCACTATATACTTGCTAATTTGATGTGGGCTCTATCTTTATATTCAACTTAAGATCTGCATATGAGGACTCCCTTTTCTGCGATACTTTCCACACGGAGGAACCTGGATGGAGGGAATGCAATATATGCAGCAAGGTAAGCTAATAATCTAGTAGCCATTACTTTTTCCGAACCCTTCCTTTCAATTTATGCGCCCCCCCCAACAAAAAAAAAAAAGAAGAGAAATAATTGAAATTTGTGTGGCAGCATCTCCACTGTGGATGCATAGCATCAAAGTTTTTACTTGAACTCTTGGATTATGGGGGTGTTGGGTGTGCTAGCTGCGCAAGGAGTTCTCAACTTCATCTGGTAAGATGCATTACTTCTAGCATTTCTAGTTTGTTGTGTGCATCGTGTTTGAATATTAGTTTGAATGGGTTAAACAACTGCTTTTGGTTTTCAACCGTCACTGGTCATTCTGTCAAAAGCATGAGTCATTCATAGAGGCTTATTAGATCACACGCTACACATGTGAAAATAGGTTGCAAGCATTATGGCTTTGAAGACTTTGGTTGTCCTGGTGATTCTCC